TGGGGAATTCTGGGAGTTGAAGTCCACACGTCTTAAAGTTGCCAAGGTTGAGAAACACTGCATTAGGCTATACTTCACCTTTGAACACAAGACAGCAGGTCTTGATTATTTATATGGAATGCATAGGTCCAATTTGAACTGTTACATAATGGGTTCATGCTCCAAACATTTAAATATTTCAGGCTTAAACACACATTAGCAAAGGGATGTGACTCACCTCTTTAAGAGACAGTGAGTTATTTTGGCAATCTAAGAACTCCAGTTCTTGAAACAAGTTCATGTATGCAACATGGTCGCATTCTTGCTTCCAAACTGTTTTTAGGAATGAGTTCACATCGCCCTTCCCCAAACTTTCTTGGATACATCAAGCTGTGATGTTGGTGTTTTATGCTTTTACGCTCATTGATTGATACGCTTGTAATCCATAAACTTTTTTTTCCAGCTCAGTTTGGCAAGAACATTTCCTCTGTTTGCATCTTCAGTAGCTGCAGTATTTTTTGGCAAGACCAAGTCTCTGTTTTCAGCCTGGAATCATTTTGGAATCAAGCAGGGAGACCATTGCCTGTATGAATGTAAGTGGTCAGCACAGCCTTTCCCTTTGAGATGCTGGCCATGCTGGCTGGGGATAATGGGATTGCAGTCCAGCACATCTACTGAAAGCCAGGGTGGTTTTAAAGATTCTGCCCAGTCTGGCAGGAGAAGATTAGATATTGCTCTATTCCTACAACTCTTGGCAAAGGCAATACCAAATCAAAAGAAGGGAGGAAGAATTGTCATTAAAAAAAAAAAAAGGCCTTGAACTCAGCGGGACTTTTCTGAGCAGACATTTTTCAAAGTCTGTTCAGTGCTTCACTGTTTTCCACTGAAGTCAGTGGGACAACGACAGCTCTACAACCCATAAATAAATAAGTAAATAAATAAAACAGGAAATACAGATTAGGAACAAAGAATTCTGGTAATTTTCTTTCGTCTTTCAGGACTCAGCTCACTTAACATCTGTTATTGTCCGGAAGGTAAAGTTGCATGTCAGAGCCAACAGCAATGTGA